TAATATTAGTGAAAAATGGCAACTTTTGCCACTCATGATCATTGTACGATTGACTAATGTATCTTGTCCATAAATTAAGCTTAACGCAACAATATCATTTTGTAGTCTTGAAAAACCTCTAAAACGATTTATAATTGAAAATGAAGCACTGCTTTCACAGCTCAATAATGAAGAAGTTTTGTCATGGCTATCTTGATATTGTATAGACAAACGAACAATATTTTCTCATGCTTCTATAAGCTATTCTATAGAGAAAAGAAAGAATTTTCATTTGATATATTAGTCAATTTAAAGAAGTTAAAGAAAGAAGAGAAAATTTTCGTATAAATATAACATTGGATCACGCTATAGAAGATAGATAATATCGAGTTTTTGAGTAAGACACGCATAGCCATAATGAAATCTAACGATCTAAATTGAATGGCAATCGACTTCTCAAATCTAAATTGATAAGCGAGAAAATAAGACGCTCAACTTCAAGAGAAGACTAATTTCCTCGTTCAATGATCCTTATTCTTTCTATAGATATGGTAAAATTAAGAACATACATAATATTATCATCATTCTCCCTCAGCAGATACATTTCTAAAAAAATCCTTTGAGTCTCATACAATGATGGCTCAATCAGAGATAGAGATCTACCCCCGTCTCATTCGTAGTTCAAACAAAAGATTCTAAAATATGCTGCAATACTTCGAAAAGAGTTGTAAATAAAAAATATTCTAATTATTTTTCGTACTGCCTATAAAAAAAAAATTATATAAACATTTACGAAGAATATTTTAAAAATTTCTCGAATATTGTTTAAATTTTGCATTTAAAAATAATTAAATTACATGTACATGGACGAAATATTTGTGTTATGCGTGTTTGTGTCTTTACACTGGTCTGCTTCGACTTTATCCAGCAGATTTCATTGAGAATTCAAAAGGTGAAACGCACATCACGTTTTCATGCCCATATAGAATAAACCAATACCAACTACTAACCACTATAAAAAAAAAAAAAAGAAAGTGCGTGTAGACATTTTCAAAATGTAGTTTTAGCATGTGGAAAACTTGTAATTGCGAAGTTTTTTAACAATATTTTTGATATGCATCACACATAAAAAAAAAAGTCATTTCTATATGTAAAACATGCGAAAATAATGCATAAAAAATTAATGAAATGCAAAATTGCCTTATTAAGCATTTCCATGCATCTTATATGATGAAAATAGCTGACTTAGCTGATTTCGTGGCGGAAATAAAAATGTTCAAGCACGAGCTATGATTAGGTCATTGAAACTTGTTTGCGGAAATTCGTATGTCCTCGGATTCTCGCTGAGTAGTTAATTATTCTTTCATTAATTTTTATATTAGTTGATACGGGAACGATTGATCTTTTCCAGAAAAAGTCAAAAAAACAAATTCATGTCTTTGTGATATATATATCATTTATGATATAAATGAAATAGTCAATTTTTGTTTTCGGCAAAATAAATAAATTGAATTCTATGAAATAAATCATTTTCGATTATATAACGAGATTTAAATAAACTTATTCAAAAAGAAAAATAAGGTTCATATAGTCAACTTTTTCATTATTATCAAAAGTTTTAGATTGACATACATAATATGAATTAATATAAATATTTTTTGAAAAATTCCAATACATTTTAATATTTTTCTGTTTGAACAACGTAATTATCGAATATTAACATGTAGATAAAGTAACTCACTTGATTCTAAGTATTTTTAATCGTGTATGATTTGAAAATGATTGTCATTCTATCTAAATAGAACATCAACTGCCACCTTTATAAATAATCTATATTATAGTAAATATTTCAAAAGTTCATTCAGTGAATTCATATAGTGTTTATAAATATTTGAAATGTTACTATTTTATTTTCAATGCATTAGCTGCACTTGCATTAAATATATATTTGAATAAACATAATACAAAAAACAAAATTTTACGTAAAATATTTCTTTTTCTTTTTTTTTTTTTTTATTTCCATTAGTAGGTGTTTAATACATTTTTTGTATGATGAATAGAAAAAACAAAGAATATTGAGAGTATCCAACACATTTCATTTCAAGCATGAAGATATTTAATTGAATTTTTTTTCTATCAACTAATTATACACTTATATGTATGAAATTTAATCATTTATTCTATGTCATGCATGAAAATAGATTCACTGACAAGTAAAATCTCTTGAAATATGGCATTCCCTATATGAGTGCTTTTTTTTCTAGGAGGATTCTTATCCAACAATGTCAGTAAGTTAACAAGTTAGTTTCCATCATTTTTGAAAAATAGTTTATTGTACATCTAGTTTTCTCAACGAACGTTTTCAAGTATTATGTAAATGGATATTATTCGAAGTTTTTCATATGCATCGTACACTTACTTGAGCTTAGATATCATTGAATCATAAGCTAACTTTAGATAAGTTATTTAGGAGTGTTGCTTCAAATCATATATCTAATAGTAAATTTAATAGATCGTAATATAGATTGTTTATTCTTATCAATTTAGCTTTAGGATATTTATACGGACGATCAGTATATGTATAGTAAGTACGTAGTACTAACGAGGGGAATGTTGTGTTAGTTAGTTTGTTTGCTTATTTGAGAGTCATATTTTAATGAAGAATAAAAAGATGCGTAATCATTTATGAAGTATGTCAGTGATAAGATAAATATTCGACTTTTGACATTGCCCCTTGTGGTCTTTTAAATGAAAAAGAAGATTTGATTTTAAAATAGTGTTTCAGGTCATAGTAACATATATAATTGAGAACAAAATATTATTTTACTTATTCAGTAGAGAACTCATTCTTTAAATATGAGCATCTATTGAAAATTTATATTTGTTTATATATTATTTAGTAAGTAGTAGAACAATTGAAAAACAAATATTAATATTAATTTCCGATATCGTATTTTTAAATAAAAAGTATTCTTCTTTAATGATTGTGTTTCGTGCTAAAGCTTGAATAAAGAATGAGTTATTGAAAAACAATTAACTCAATGATGTATGATGATAGAGTACCATTCTCTAGATCTATCATACCTACATCGATCTAATAAAACAAAAAGACAATGAACCATTCATAGTTTTTTTTTTTCCTTTAATAAATATCTGAGCTATTTTTATATCACATATGATAAGAAAACAAAAGAGTTGTTTTCATCTATTCATTAGATATCCTTCCGTGTCATCCTGGCTTGAAAATTATTAAAAATACATCTTTATTCGACTTAGTCAGTAGCATTCACTAGCCATGATTATTATAATACATAGATTAAAAAAAATACTTATTTATTTTCCTTTAGCATAACCCCGTCAGCTGAAAAACAATACACTTCACGTAATAGTTCTTTCTTTTTAATAACATAAATGTTTTGATGACTATCCGTTTCCCTATTCTAAAAAAATTCATCAATCTTTTTTTCCTATCATTGAAAAATTTCATTTGTAAGTATATAATATGCGTTCATCAAAATATATGGTTTATGGCAGATCATTTTGTAAGTAATGACCTAGATGAGTTAATCGAGCTTTTCTTTTTGTTATTTCTGACAAACAAAAAAGAAAAAGAAATAATAAGCTTTTAATCTATTCATAGTTTTTCTTTCATTGACACAACTCTTATATTCATTGAAAATAAAGTTTCTAGTAATAAATGTCAGCTTCAATAAATTTTCAATTTTATTAACAAAGTGTGACATATTTTTTTTCAATTGGTATCTTAAGTTTTATTATTAAGTTCGTATAATAGAAAGAAACAAAGTTTTCGTCATCTAGGTATATCTTTTCTTAAGTGTAGATATGATCTACTTTCCATATTCATATCACACATCATTATTATCAAGTATGATAAAATTAGAAAGTACTAATAACTTTTTATTTCACTATTAGCAACTCTATTCTTTTTTGTGCTTCTCATTAAATAAACAAAAAAGAAACTATTTGCTTTTGTTAATGCCGCTAATGTTTCGAGACAACTCCTTCGTACTAAATGGAATGGAAGAATTAATTGATAGATGAAAGATGAAGATAAAATACTAGAAAGATATTCTTTTTGTTTTTATTTCGTTATTTCCTTTTTCTTGTCCATGAAGATGATTATAGTCGTTGAAACAATAAAAAACTGTTACGTGTATAATATATCGTTTCATACAGTTTACAGTCGTAATTAGCTGTGAATTGATGTTTAGCAAGTGCAGTATTACGATCGTATGCTATCGGGCTATACACAACTAATAAGAATCATCAAATGGTCTGAAAATCGGGTATCCGACTGTTTACAATACAATTAAATACAATCGTAATACTTCGTCTTTCATACGACGCAAAAAAAAGATCATCTAAAACTTCTGTTTACGATTGTACTTTTTTTTTTTCTTGAAATTCAAGGATAACACAATCCGTACTAATTATTTTACTTCGGTAGAATTATCATATAATATATCCTGTTTGACAAAAGAAAAATATTTAGTTTAGTCAACTTTCTTCTTGTATATGTAAGTAAATAGTATGTCATATTTAGATGCTAAATAAAATTCTATTTTTTTTTTTTATATGGGATGAGAAGAAAAAAAAATCCTTAATCAGATTTCTTTTTGTTGCTTTAGATTATCTGCAAAGAAATAAAAAGAATATAGATTTGGTTTTGTGAACATAGCTTTTAGAAAGACAAGGATAAAAAAAACACGTCTTTATTAATTAATTCATATAAACTTATTTATCTATATTAAGTATTTGAAAATAATTCAAAACAAGTTTTATATAGGAACTATAATAGAAAAAGAATCAGATATTTATTATGACTTTCTAAAAGAGAAACTGTTGACGCGTTGATATATGTGCCGCCTACGAATGTTGTCATCATTCTATTAACATAACAATTTGTCTTCTTCTCAATATTACGATCGTTTTGCTTTATAGATTGTAATTCTATATGAAATATAGATAATTAAATAATATAACACATAACTACGGCACAAATGAATTTTACATATATTATTTTATGTAATACGACTCCAACTGAAGCAATATATGTTGATCCACCACCACCTATTCCGCCAACTTATCTACAAGGAACAGCCATTGTTGTTTATACACTGTTAAGTATTCTTACTATTGGTGGTAATGCTCTTGTATATTTAACTGTATTTCATTATATGGGTATTGCAACTGGTACAAATCTGTTCATTGCTAATTTAGCTGTAACAGATTTTTTTGTTGGCCTTCTTTGTATTCCAATAGTGCTCATATCAGATTATCTTTTATCAGATTGGCCATTTGGATTATTTATGTGTAAATTTACATCATTTTCGCAATCAGTTTTTATTGTTTGCACTGTTTATACATTAATAGCTATGTCTGTTGACCGATATATAGCTATAATTTATCCATTACATTCAAAATTAACACGAAAACAATGTTATATATTAATTAGTATACTTTGGACATTTTCTATTATATTTAGTTTACCAGTATATTTTGAAATGCATATTATTCATATATGTTTTCATCGAGATTCAAATGATTTAAAAGAATATACTCAAACAATATGTCAAACAAATGGTTTAATACCATCAATACAAGCAATATATAATATAATGACATTAACAATAATTTATTTAGTACCATTATGTATTTTATCCATTGTTTATATAAGACTTGGTTGGCAATTAAATCAAAGTCATGCACCAGGTGAAGCACATTCACAACGTGATGCACGAATAAAAAAATCAAAAAGAAAAGTCATTAAAATGTGTTCTATTGTTGTTATTATGTTTGGTGTTTGTTGGTTTCCAATGCAATTATATATAAATATATTACATCCATATCTTAATCGAATATTTGATCAAAAATATGTAGCTCATTTTTATTTTGCATTTCATCTTATGGCTATGAGTAATTCATGTGTTAATCCATTTATATATGGTGTTATGTCATCGAAATTTCGTGCTGGTTTTTTACATTATTGGCATTGGTTGACGACATCTTATGGTTCAGTAACTGATCATTTTAGACATTCACGTAATATAAATGAAAGTATTATGTTAACAGCATCATTTCAAAAAACAAAAACAGACTATAAAGTAAATCTTACACCACATAATTATACGGATGATACACAGGCAACTCGAATGTCCGCCCATTCTACACTTCCATTGATATCATTATCACGTAGAGAATCAGCATATGATTAAATAAATTATTATTTATCTTTACAACTAAATCAATGTTTCAAACAAAATCTATATATTTGTTGTAGTATAAGTAACTTTGTATTTGTAAATAGTATTGAGAAAGAAAAAATATATATATTTGAAAAAAGATATTCTGTTGTAATTGAATAATAATATGAAATAACAAAATTTTATTGTTATATTTCTTAATTTGATTAATTATTAAGTGCATTGGCATGTGATATGTATTCAAAATTACAGTTGAAGTATGTTCATTAATAGATGAATGTTTGATCTTGAACAGAAGTCATGCAAGAAGAAAAATAAAAAATTAAATGAATGTTCTTTCATGCAAAGACAATATTCGATTATTCAATCAATCTTTATGTTGTTCAATTTCAATGCAGAAAAGAAAAGAAGTTCTTTGACATGATGATAGAAAACATAAGACTAAATATTTTTTTTATATATTTAACACAACATCATTTATTTTATGTTTGTTATTTATTTGGGTACTATCAAAAATGTTCGTGATGAAAATACAATGTAACATATAGAACAGACAGATATATAGTTGAGAGGGAATTCAACTTCCTCGTGGTAAAAATTCATATGCACTAATAAATATGTACGTGATCGGACAAAAAGTGCTTAGGAATAATGATGACAATCATTTATTTATTATTCTATTACAGTCAGATACTAACCTATTTGATATGAATTAATTCTTATTTCTGATTGAGTATTTTTGATCAAAGTAAATAAGAAAGTTTTAAATATTATACTTCAACAGTACATGAATATATAAAATTATCATGTAGATTTATTTCAAAATTATTAAAAGTTCGGTCGTTCTGTTCTTTTTCTTATAGAACTATTTCATTTTAAAATGTAAATGGTTTTTTATTATGATAGACTCCTAGAACTTATTTGTTAATTTGAAGAATGGATTGTACTGGAAGAAAAAGTTCTTACTTGAATGAATAATTATACTATCACGAAATGTTCAAAATTATATAATTGAATGTATCTAGTTTAAAGTTCGAAATGTATTTATAATTGTAGAAATCTCATAATTCTAAGTCATGCATTCTATTTTAGTAATTAAATATACGAGTTTATCACTTTTAGGTACATGAAAACAGGGTTTTATGTTTAGTAGAATGTCCTATGGCATTTTGACATAAACTATGAACATAAAATGAAAAAAATAATGAATAGTCGAAGATAGAATTATAAGTTTATGATTTTCATAATATATAAATATTTACTTAGGTTTGAAAATTGCGTAAATTGTGTCGATTTTTCTTAGTATAATTCATTGAAAATGGTCTCAAAGATTTAGATGTCACTAATTCTAATTAATTAAAGTATTTGTTTTTGTCTTTTATTGCAAAAATATTATCGATATGATTAACAATGATCTAGAAAAAAAGACAAAGTTAACGAAATGAATTTATTATTTGATTAGAAGTTCAAAATGATAAAAGCCGATTAAATTGGTCTTAATTCAATCAATACATTAAAAAAATAAACAGTTTAGCAAATAAAATTTTTACCATAATTTACAGTAAATTCATATTGTAATTATAATATAAATATGAAGATTTTATTTTAACCAGATAAATTCACCCAAAGAAAACCCTAAAATAAAGCTGCTACCGCAATTTATTTCGGAATAAAAATGTGAAACACAATATAGTTGCTCTTGCTAATCATAGAAAGGTCATTTTATTTTATCTATTTCGGGAGACTTTTCTTTTACTTAATTCTCCAGAAACGTAATAAAAATGTAGCTTATATATATTATAACCAGATATTATTGATATACGATCTTTGAGGGTATGCAAATTTTTATCCTATGTACTTCAACACATCTTTCAGCTCGTATTGCATATAATAAATATAGCTATTGACTATATAACAGATACTATCATGGAGTACTTCTTTCGTTCTGCCTTGGAAATGATTCATACAAAAACTTTTTGTCCTGAGTGGCTGGACATAAAAACTGAACTCAATTATTCATTGAATTAATTACTTAAGCCCCCCTCCCCCCCCCCCCCCCCCCCCCCCCCCACCCCCCCCCCCCCGCCCACTAACCACGCGACGCATCCATNAGCGTATAAAGCATGCATTTTTTGAAAGCTTCATATCTCGGAGAGACTTTGTCCAAAAGTTCTGAAATTTTTTATGCAAACTAGTCTAGCTGAGGTGTTTATGTTGGCAAAGTTTCAGATCAAAATTAAAAAAATATGGTCTTGCTGCAAATGTGGGGTCTTATAGGAAAAATTCACTAAAACCTCGATATCTCACTAGGAACAAGCTAGGGGCACAAACTTTTTTTTATGGTAGACATAATTCATCAAGGCCTACAAGATGCGCAAAGTCTCGACTAAAAATCGCTCCAACACCTGGGAATGTTCCCTCGTTAGTCATTTTCTTTGACTATAGGTATTCACTAGCATTCATTGAGTGCTTCTATTATTATTATGATTTCAAAGTGTGTTTAGAGTTCCTAAAGTTCTGTTAGATCTTAAAATTTCTTAGGTTCTGTGACTTCTTAGAATTATGTATAATTTCTTTTGTCAGATTCATTTCTTTCATGAACGTTTAGATTTCCAAAGTTCAAGAAGTGTAGAATTCAACTGTGCCTCTTCTATGATCTTCAGTTCAATTAATCTGAAGAAGCCTTTTCTACAATTATTGTAAAAAAACAAAGCTGCTATACGAAAATATTCAATACGTTTTACAAATAAACTAACTTTGATTTCTATTTAGTGAAGTATTGCAGAAAAAAAATAACAAACTCAATAAAATTCTTGAAAAAGGCTTGAATATTGTAATTGATTCTTTTCTTTTAAGTAATATTCATCAAAATCAAAATATTATCCTCAAATTTCAAATATTAAGAAGTTAACAAATGATATAATCGCAATAATCATTTATTCAGCTGAATGATATCTTGAAGATGATCGAAATCTGACTCTATGGTAAAGGTGAAATTTACCTGATATCGATAATATGTGTCAATAATTGTATTCAATCGTGCACACACATTACGAACTGAACATAAAATTGTGAATTCATCAACATTGTCAAGAATACTATAGACAAGGTCAATAGGTAATGCCAAAAGAAACGAAGAAGCTTTATCAGACATTAATATTGCTTGCTTTCGAATCGTATGTTTGTTGAAACTTATTTTTCCTTGTGTCAATATGTTAATTGGCAATATATTATCAACCTTTATCATGCTTGACTAATTTTTTATTTCTAATAAAGAGAAATGAAACAAAAAAAAATGAGACTAATGTAATGATATACATACATTTTTCCTTCATTTGCGACTTTCAAATATGTATTGTTGATTCGAGGTAAGGTGTTATTGTTGATGTCTCTTTGTCCAAACCCTCATTCTGTCTTTTTTTTTTGTTATTGACAATACACAAGATTTCTAACAAACGATATTGCTTCTCAATCCATCATAATGTTAAATTTATTTTTAATCATTATTACGAGAGAAAAAAAAAGTGCTAAGTAAAAATTAATAAACGATATTATATGGTTTGGAATAAGTTCTCGAAACTTTTGTGGACAATTGAATTCTTTCACTTGTAACACTAACCTAACAAAATAACTACTTTATTTATGAAATTTGATTTTAGTATTGCTTTTCTCACTAACAAGAACAGAAATTAAAATCACTTTTTTTGTTCTATAAATTAACAAATCAACAACGATATAACCAACACTCTTCCATGGATTATGCTTTCATCTGTAATTAAAGGTATGTGAACCGATCGATACACAGACGCTTTGGCGGTCTAGACGTACCTCCGTCAGTACTATGAATAACTACTAAAAATATCACTCATCGTCGGCACAACATGAAATTGGACACTAGATTCTTGAAAATCTTCGATAAGCAAGACCAGTTTTTTTTTTGGAATATTCTTGTCTCAGATCTGATTTTTCTCACTCTTTCGTTTCAAAATTCCTCGAAACTAACAAAGCTTTTGAAAAAAAACTTGTCGATCATTTTTAGTAGTCATCACCCATCAATGCGTTAGCTTATACTGCTTTCTATGTCTTCGTAATTTCTAGTTTACATTAATGTTTCTTTTATTTTGGACATGTATTCAAAAGCATAAATATAATATTTTCTATTTTCTATTTATTTTTTATTTGTTGATCAAATTACATTTTTATTATTTAGTTAAACTATGAAATACATCAAGTGAACAGTACTTATATATTTTTCTGATAGAATGTTTCACATAATTGTAAACAAAAATTATGTGATGATTATATTCTTCGATTTGTAAAGTATTAAAAAAAATTTTCGAAAATAATTTAGAATCAATTATTATTAAAAAAGAATATTTTTTTAACCAAATAAAAAAAGACAAGCGTTTTTCAAGTAAAATATTGATTGATTATTTGAAGAAAAACTTAGTGCTTATATAAAATGAATATGATTCAATAAGAGCCGAAACTTTTATTCATCTAATCGTACTTTATCATAATTTTATTTATCTGAATGAAAGATATCTTCTATGATTTCAATCATCTGTTCTTATTTTCATGATAGCAAAAGAAGAACTATAGAAATACAAAAACAATAATATGAATTGATATAAATTATAAAAATTAATTGCTTTGAACTATAAAGAGAGAAAATGTTTATATACAGTAATATAGAATTAAAACTATTTGCTGATAATTGTAGATATTATATATTTTGATTGTTTATTGTTTTAGTTATTGACTATATTATTAATCGAAGTTTTTGCTTGTTAATTAATTATTTATTCTTTTAACAATGAATAAATTGAGATCTAGAATAACACATACATACACTTTCCTAGAAATATTTCAATTTCTATTGGCAATTTTCATTGCATAATTCTGCAAGAGAAATAGAATCACAAATATTTTAATATTCTTTGTAATACAATTCAAAAAGCAATCAAATCAATAATACCTTCGTTTCATAGAATTATTAAAATAACTGATTTATCATTATTTCTTTTTCTCGATCAAATAATTAAAAGTTTTAATTAAAAAACTTTCTACAATGTAGATATAACAATTCAATCATTGTAAAATTCTAATGTTTTTGTTATTTTTATGCTAGAGTTTACCGAAATACATCTACAAGCATTTTATTTTGAAATTAACTCTATTTCTTGGTATAAATTGATATTTAATGGGTGAAACTTCCTGGACTTTAGAATAAACATCCCTAGTAAAGGTACTCATATGAGAGTACTCACATTGTACTATTGAGTGTATAGTGAGTACTCATATATAATTTTTATGATCTCTGTTAGCTTATGTAAAAGTACAATAGCAGTAAAAAAAATATGAATAAAAAATAATTATTCAAGGAAGTTGAGAAATGTTATAGGAAAAAAACAATTAGTTGTCATTACTGCAAAAAGAAAACAAATTCCCTATTTTTAAATTGATGAATGTCTCTTATTCCGTAATAAAAAAAAAGTCAGGGTGTGGGTCTCCTGTTCTTTTACACCTACGTCTATACTTTGTTTTTTCTAAATCTAATATTTGTTATCACGTAATATGTTTTTTTTTCTTTTTCTTCACTTCAAGACATTCTTACATCAGGAAAAGTAAAAAAAAGACTTTTTTATTTTGCTATAAAAACATAAGAGAAATATTGAAATAGAGAATTCATTTTATGTTTATGCTTTTATTTCCAATAAACATGGAATCCTTGCTACATGAATTATGATTAAGATGATTTCCAAAGATTTGATAATGCAGACATTATTCTCTTGAAGAAGTTTTTAATCTCAAATTATCGTTTTCAACTATTAGTTATAAATATAGAATTTACAGAGTTAACTTTAAGAAATCAATCACAAAACTTTTATTCAATTTTTTGCAGCATGTATTACTTTTTATCGTGAAGGAATTCAATCTTTTGACATTGTGAAACAAACGACCTTTAAACTATGGTGCCACAGAGTCAAATGGGATGTGGGTGTGAGTCTTCATGAAGGTAATACATCCACATCCACCCACACCCTACTTACAAAAAGCTTAAGACAGACCATTGACTAGTGAACTATCCTTGTCATCAGATGAGACTGCTTTTCTTTCGCCTGCTTTGATGAAATTAAAAATTTCAATATTTTCTTTTTCATCTCAATAAGTGCTGCTTTTCTTCCTCAAAAGCCAAACCAGATATGCTTACTAAGGACGTAGATGTGAGTGTAGGTCGTCTCTGTAATCGCAATCGAACACCTGAATGCACTTACATCGACACGAGCATTGCACTTTTGTTAACGAATTTTCATTGTATAAGACTAAAACATTTGGAATAAATTAAATAATCCAAGAGATATTTGTAACATAAAAATGAAATCAAATGACCAAGGTTAAGGGACATAATCAAAGAAAAAAAACAATATATGACGTTTATTTAGACCAAATACATCGAAGAAGACAGTAGTCAAGCGATCGCAATAGAATGTAACAATCAAAACAATATTAAATATAATAATCAGATATATATAGTATCTAAGTCTTCATTATTATCAGTAGTATCTATTAGCGCTAAGTTACATATCATATGGGTTTGAATTATAATTTTCGGACAACTCTTACACCTGAAATAAAATGATGTGCATAATGATCATGGTGATGCAAAAAAATTTGCGTAAATAATATTTCATGTGCTCAATATCATACAGAAGATTATTGAACTTTCTAAAGCGAATTATAATACTGAATTTAATCATTATTGTTATCGTTCGATAAGCCACATTATCGGAAATAAGAAATATACAACATCAATATTGAATGAACGAACAAAAAATACTTTAGAAAATAAAAGAAATTAACGTAGGAAATACATTTATGAAAGTAATTGGCTATCTGGGTATGTATGCAATTACTAGAGGAAATAACAGGAAAAAAGGAAATAGGATCACAAAAATATAATAAAAACATATCTTTTTTTTCTCTCATTTTGGTGTTAATAATCGTCCTTTTTCAATTGCCTGTTCGAGTAATTTTTGTTCTTTACTTCGTTTAAATGTTCGACGAAACCAATTTTGAAAAATTTTTGTAATATTTTTATAGCCAAGACCATCAGGTGCACCACCTTTTCGTGCATCACTTACAGCCCATAATTCATTTGAATGACGACGTTCAATTGCTTGAACAACACATCCACCACGAAAACCTGATATTGTATGACCTTTTGCTAGAAGACCATGAACAACATTCTAAATTTAGATAAAAAGAAAAAAAAACTAAAAGAAAAAGAAATAGTTCATATCATACAACAGGAAAACGTTTTTCTAATTCAAGTTCCATTGGAATAAGTTGTTGATGTAATCGAGGCATATCAACAGCATCACGAATACTTTTACCAAGCCATAGATTATAAATAGCAACTTGAGCAACAGAAGAGATTATTCGACTACCACCGGAACCACCAGCTGTAAAAATAACTTTACCATTTGAATCAGTAACAAGAATTGGACTTATCGATGTCATTGGACGCTTAACTAAAAATTTTGAATTATTTTTGTTTTTCTTCATATAATTTCTATTTGTAAATTTACAACTTACAAGGTTTAATAAAATTTGCTGGACTTGGTGCATAACCATAAAAGTTAGGTGAACCAGGCTTTGAAAAATCATCCATTTGATTATTATAGATGATACCTAGAAGAAATATTTAAATAGATCATTACCGTCACATACGAACTAAAACTCACTTACCAGTATTATGTCCATACACAAAGGCTCCAAAACTAGAAAACATAACATTTTAAAATGTATTTTCAAACAAAAAAAAAGTATCATCACATTACGCAGTATTTATTGTACTCGTAGCGGCAACAGCATTTCCTTCAGCATCAATAATTGAGCAATGACTAGTTCCATAATCTTCAACAAAATAATATACTAGTGTATTTGTCTCATTAACAATATTTTTATACCTGATTGAGGTTCAAACATTGGTTCATAATAATCAAGTGGTTGAGCTTTTTTTTCATTGACCCGTTGATGAATTTCTTCTGCATAATGAGAAGATAGAATTAAATGAAGTAGCTAAATGAGAATTGTTTTTTTTGTTTTTTTGTATTCTATTGAAAGATATCGAAGAAAAAAAAGAAATTGTTATACTTGTTCAATTTCTTGATTTTTATCTGTTTGTGAATCATATTCATCACCTAATGCTGATCGTTTACCATAAGCAAATTTAAATACTTCATTAAGAATATGATAAAAATTCACTTGTTTTTCATCCGTATCTAATGATTGTGGTGTTAGACCATAACCTAAAAGATAAATCAATATTGTTAATTTCTGTCAAAATTTATGACATACAAAAAAAAAAATTGTAAACATTTTTACATATTACAAACAGTATCTCTACTGTCACGGAATCTGTTTTGACAAGTGGTACTCAGTCACGAAACAATAGCGACATTGTGAACATTCTTTTTTTTCTTTCTTAATAAAAAAGACAGCTCCATGGTGTGTTTCATATTTTATCCCTTAGGGAATTTGCTAACAGCTTTTTTTCTCTCATAAATTCTTCGTTACTTACCATCCATTACTTTAAGAATAAGTAAAGTAATTGCGGAACTAGCTGGTGGTGGCACACCATAAGCTGTATAATTATTTTTTATTTTAATTCTAAGAGATGGTTTAACTCGAGCATGATAAGTTGCTAAATCTTGTTCGGTAATAATTCCACCATGTGATTGAATTTCTTCACAAATATCTGCTGATAATTCACCTTGATAAAATGCACTTGGTCCTGTTTCAGCAATAATTGCAAGAGTTTCACCAAGACGTGGTCGATAGATAGTATCATGAAGTCCATATACTTCATCGGAATCACCTTTGAAAAAGACTCGTCTAAGATAAAACAAAAAATATAATTTTATTGTCTTGGTTTTTTTTTCTTTGTCTATTTATATGTAGTAACCTGAATGGTCTATGATCCCATAATTTATGTTTATTTTTTAAAATACTAAAAGCAAGAGCTTTTTGTATAGTAAAACCCTCATTACACATATCAATAGCTGGTTTAAACAAAGCTGACCATGGTAATTTGCCATATTGTTTATGAGCACTCCAATAACCAGCTATTTCACCTGGAATACCAATTGATAATCCACCTAATTAATATAAAATTATTCATATAATGATTGTCTTGGTCCCTTTTTTTCTTAATGTTTTTACCTGATACTGATGATGGTGGTGGATTTCCATCAACAAACATTCTTTGATGAGCTTTCGATGGTGCTGCTTCACGTGCATCAATAGCTACACATTCTTTTTTTGTACTAAATGATCTAAGTTAAGTTTCAAAACGAAAACAAAAAAACTAGAGTTCACTTACACATCATAAATATTCATAAGAAATCCACCACCAATACCAGTTGAATGACAATTATGTACGCCAACACAAAGAAGAACAGCAATAGCTGCATCAACCGCAGAACCACCCAAATTTAAAATACGTCTTGATATTAAAGAATTATCTAATGCATTTATTTAAGAAATGAAAATTAATTTATACCTTCCAACTTTAGATGCTTCTTCTGAATCGGATGCAACCGCTCCATGTTTACATATCATAAATGATGATTCACCTTCAAAACCATAATTTTCTATTCCTGGTAGATCAATTTGAAATTCTATATTATAAATATACTTATATCCAATAATTATGTATTGAAAATTGAATTCTTACTTGGTGCAACAATATCAATATTATTAATTTTTGAAGAAAATGAAAATAAACGATAATGATTATTATAAATTCTAATCTAAATCATATCAAATATTTGTTTCTATGAAAGTTTTTCACTTATGTTTACCTTTGTCAAGAGTCGTTGCATAGTCATCGTAAAAAGATGTTTATTTAATAATAATGTATTAGTAATTATACATCATGCTATTATACTTTAAGTGAATTTTGATAGATAAAAAAAAAAAGAAATCATAGTCCTTTGAAATAGTTATATTAGATCATCGAGATTTCCCCCTTCGTTTTTTCTTTCTCCTCCCACATTTATAATACTCTCTAGTGTTGCTGATTTTCTCATTTTTTTTCTTGGTCTTTTCTTTTTTTTATTGGTGCATGCATTTGTTCTTTCTCGTCTATTCTATAGTTTCAATCACAATAGTTTTCTTCTTGTTGTTTTCTTTTTTTAACGAGCAACTCTAAGGAAAAAAAGCACAGGAGCCGAAGAAATTGGTTTCTATTAACAACTTGTTTTCGTTAAATATGATGAAACATGAAAGAAAGTAATAATAATAAAAGTTAATTTACATCAAGTATTCATGTGAAAAGCTCTCTAATCACGACAATAACCTTGAAAAGTACCTATTATTATTAAAGATTTCTTAGGAAAAATGGCAGGAAAAAAGTCGACATTTTTTTTTCCTCTTATTATCAACAGAGCAGAAATAACTTCTGACTATCATTTTAATTGAACACGAGAGAAAATTAATGTAAAATTTTAGCAACACGCTAACTATTGACATGTCATGAATTAATTATAAAAAAAGCTTACTGTAAACATTGCTGTCGATTCAGTCGTCAGCTTGTGAGAGATCCTTACACTGATATATGACAACAATTTTTCTCTTTTTCTTTTCCTTTCTTTTTTTACTTATAGTCTGAGGAAATAGAAAGCATTAACAAGAAAATGAAATAGCTTGTACCACTTCTGAATATACATAAATTTGATCCGCTTTTTTAAAATATGTCATGACAGTAATTTCATTGATTACTGTCAAAAATAGATCCTTATCAAGAACACAAATTAATTAGGAAAAATGTCAATAGATATAAGTATAACTTTTTTTTTTTTGTTTTTTTATGATAAATAATTCAATTCTGTTATAATATGTTGTGACTGCTTTTTTTTTTGTTAAGCAGATCGTTTATATATTGTTATTGATATTCTTCGACATACTAGTCGGATTAGTGATTTATTGTTGCTAAGAATGTTATTAGAATTTTCTGGGAAAAAAATGATGCATGATAAATTAATGACAATTTCTGAATGAACTTTGATTGGTCTAAAAGTTACATTTAATTACAATGTCTTCATTATTAAACGCTAAATTACACACAGAGCTTCATATATTAAGGATAATAAGGCTTCTGTAAATTATATGGATCATGCATAAAGAATGTCCGAGAAATGGGAAGGGTTTAGCAAAATCTAGGATATTTTCGAACATTGAATCAGGAGTTTCGAACACTTATAATGATTTATTTTTGTTGATTTTTAATCGTTTTCTGCCTGTTGAGTCATTTTTGAATCATTCATAGAAACTGTCCATTTTGAAGCAATAAAGCATTGGATCGAAACAATTCTCGAGCATTGTGTAGAGCCTCGAATCAGCAACGAAATCGTAAAAAAATGAAAATTCTTTTTCATCATCCTGCAGACAAAACTCATGATAAAGCGCATTTCCAGCTTTATACATATAAACGAATAGGGTAGCTGAAAAAAACCTCAAATTGATAATAAATTGAATTTTTATGCCATTCAAAATGAATGGATCATTTTTGAGCCATTCTGCCTTTTCATAGTAAAATGGCTTTACGGAATTAGTACCAGGGCATGAAGAGTTCAATCCTTTTTTTTTTTTTACAGATTTGTTCAAGTTAACTTAGTTTTGATTAACATTTTCAAAGGAGCAACTGCTCAAAATTCTATGATATATCATTTGCATTTAAGTCACGTATGTCAGTCGTTTAGTGTAAAACAAAACACAATATATTTGAGCAAATAGACTCTTGCTAAACAATATTCAGAAGCTGGATATCCAAGAGAAGTTGACGATCAGTCAAGGTTGGGTTAGAAGCAAGGAAATCGTAAAATGCAATTTTTACTTGGATATATATTATGGATGACTCTTTATATTTTCCTACGAGACATTTAACCCATTTTATATTAATGTTAAGAGTGCCACTTCTCTTCTGTTTTTTGACTGTTTGTGGTTCTCGAAGACGGTAAAACCGATCAAACTAAAATTTTTATCACAGATGGAGCATAAAAAACAAGGACACACATTTTTGATGAAAAAAATTTCAAGTGGATTTTTACGGTTCTTTGGAAACACCTTGGCTTTCGATAGGGTTACATCCTGTTTGCATACAACCTCCATATAACTTTGTTGAATTGGACCAAGATTTTTACCGTTAATATTTGAAAGTATTCTCCAGAGGCAAAATCTGTCGTTTTCGTTGTTTGACTTTCCGGTTCGGCTGTACAGGATTCTGAACGCCAAGATCCCAGCTTTGTCTTCGAGCTTTTACGTATTTCTCTCATAAAAAAGAAAGAAAATGAGATAAAGTCTTAGATATCTCGAAAAAGAAAAAAATCACAAAAATTTTCACTTCAAAATTTTTTTCTTCAACATGTGTCTCCTTATTATTGGTGTTATGTTTGTAGTAAAAATTTCAGCTTGACCAGTTGTACCATCTTCAAGAACCAGAAACAGTCAAAAAACGAGGTGCGGGACCTTTAAGATATTTTATTAGTAAAAGAATAAAATAAACTTTTATCAAAAAACAAAAAACTACAATTTCATTGTCCAGATCATAGAAGACAAAATATTAAAATCGACGGTCGTCAAAGTATTTTAATGTGTTATCAGAAGCAATACTGGGTCGAGCAGCAGACATTCGACGTGTATAAACAGATAACCTTCGTTGTACNATTTTTGATGAAAAAAATTTCAAGTGGATTTTTACGGTTCTTTGGAAACACCTTGGCTTTCGATAGGGTTACATCCTGTTTGCATACAACCTCCATATAACTTTGTTGAATTGGACCAAAATTTTTACCGTTAATATTTGAAAGTATTCTCCAAAGGCAAAATCTGTCGTTTTCGTTGTTTGACTTTCCGATTCGGCTGTACAGGATTCTGAACGCCAAGATTCCAGCTTTGTCTTCGGGCTTTTACGTATTTCTCTCATAAAAAGAAAGAAAATGAGATAAAGTTTTAGATATCTCGAAAAAGAAAAAATCACAAAAATTTTCATTTCAAAATTTTTTTCTTCAACATGTATCTCCTTATTAGTGGTGTTCTGTTTGTAGTAAAAATTTCAGCTTGACCAGTTGTACCATCTTCGAGAACTAGAAACAGTCAAAAAACGAGGTGCGGTACCTTTAAGATATTTTATTAGTAAAAGAATAAAATAAACTTTTATCAAAAAACAAAACTACAATTTCATTGTCCAGATCATAGAAGACAAAATATTAAAATCGACGGTCGTCAAAGTATTTTAATGTGTTATCAGAAGCAATACTGGGTCGAGCAGCAGACATTCGACGTGTATAAACAGATAACCTTCGTTGTACATTACTTTTATCATCATTATCAACATCATTTACATAACGAATTTCTTCAATATGTAATTGATTAAGAAATGCTTTACGAAAAAAAACAAGTGTTGGATTTTGTGTAAGAAAAACAGCTAATTTCCATTTACGTACATATCTTGATTGAGATATCGGTCTTTTCACTTCATATTTTTCGTCGGCTGTTAAATCATGAGTTTTCATCATGTTCATTTTCAATTCTTTCATTTTAATTTGAGTATAAAAATGTGAAACAACAGCTAACATAATTGGATGTCGATGAGTACATTCAGTATGTATAAAGCCACAATAAGCACTAAAACCACCATCCATTGTTTCCAATTTACGACCCAATGGAGAATAATCTAAACGACACATATAAGCAATTCCACCAATAACACTTTTAATTAAACGAACGACTGAAGATATAAAACCAAGAAAAGCATCTAAGAAGAAATTAAAATAAATAAATATCATTAAGAACCGACGATTATTTAATGCAAGAACTTCTCCACTATGTTGTAAAAATATATATTGTGCAAGAATTTTGTTAAGATATTGTTTAAAAAGTACAAATAAAATACTTGGTATAACAATTTTTAAAATCGTTTCAACTAATCGAACACTTCCATATATAATAAACGCATCAATAGTTAAACATAATAGAAATGAAAATACTGCTATTATCATATAACCCCATATTAAATAGCCAATAAAATATCCAGCAAAATGAAAATTTCCTGCTGCATATGAAACATAATGTGATCGTTGTCGTCGTGGTATTTCACTATCATCACCACGAAATGATTGAAATGAATTTCTACGAATATTAACAAGTAATACTAATAATTGTATAATTATTATTGTTAATGTCAGAAATATAGCAAATAGATAAGATCTGGTTAATGATGGAAGTGGAAAATTTGATGTATTACTACTAACATTTTCACCATCAGTATCATCAGGCTTAGAAATAAATATTGATGAAATTAAATCAACTACTAGTTGAAGAGTTTGTTGAATTCCTGATATTAAAGGTAGAACTTGTATACATGCTTGAATAGTAACTAAATATAAAAGAAGAAATATTGATGAATAAAGACAAATAATTCGTGTTGAAAAACGATAATCATCTCTCCATTCATAAATTTTTGTTGGTATTAAACGAGCAAATAATGCTTGACTTTTTGGACGATTTTTAGCTGAACGAAATAAATTTTTAACATAAAGCATTTCAACTGAATTCGGTTCTGATATATGAATAAGTATTCTTTGTTCTCGTGTTAATTTCATTAATATTCTCTTTTCTAATGGTAGATCTTTTTTGCATCTAAAAAAAATTTTTCTTATTAATAACATTGGTATTTTAACATTTATATAAGCTAAACATAAAAATCTTGGTATATCTGTACATAATTGTATGGCAATTAAATTAGGACCAGTACCAAAATAATCAAACATATAATCAATACTACTTGCATTGTTCAAATAATCATTGTATGTTGGATAAAAATCTGATTCACACATGCCTTGATTAATTATTGTTATCGCATAGTCAAGCCAAGCATATATTGTTGCACATGCTAATACAAAAATTGTATTTAAATAAACAGCTGCTAAAAGTGCATAATAACGAACTCCCATGATTAATACTTGAAGAACACGTAAAAGATAAGTAATAATGACACCTTCACCTTTACTCGCAGTACCGTCAATTACTGATAGCATTATAAATAATAATTCATCTGCACATACAGCAAAAATGAAAGCAGCAAATTTTCGATCAACATCGGAAAGAAAATCAACAGGCATTGGTGGTGCTCCATATCCATAACATAGATTAGGCACTAGAGATATTCGTTTGGTTCTTATTATAAGTATAAGAATTAAAAAACAAGCAACAGGAAATGTTATAACATTAAAATCTTGAAGAGACATCGTATCACAAAAAGAATTTTTTACATAATAAAGTGATTGATTTGTCAAATATTTGGTAACAAGTTCATTATGTATTGGTTGTATTAAAGACCATTTTGAAATAAGTGCTACACAAGTAAAGATTATTGTTAAACAAGCAACCAAACATGAAGATAGACGAGCTGATCTTTTAACATTTTTTAATGCAAGATGAACTATTGTTGGATTTCGTAAGACCTCTCTAGATTTATGAATTAATAAAAAGAGAAATAAATATAAATGCTTACTTTTTTTTATCTTCTTTTGGTTTTCGTCGTTTGTTTCGAATACATTGCATAATTTGTAAACCATAAAAAATTGCCATAAGAAAAGCTAATATACAACCAAGTGCAATAACTTGTTTTCCACTACTTGTTTGTTCATCACATAATGTTCCATTCCACCAAAATTTACATTCACAAGTCCATTCACCATCCGAATTATCACGACAATATCCATATTGACCACATGGATTATATATGGAACAATCTTAATAATTATAAATAAAATAAATGAATTATTAAAATTATACTTTTTACTTAATTGTCCATTGATAATAGTCATTGATGAAAAAAAAGCAATAAAGAGTACGTTAACCGTTGACATTATTTTGAATGTCCTCTAGTGAGAATAATATTGCTTGAGATAGAATTTTGTTTTTCTTCGTTCTCTAGAAAACATACCTTTGAAAATGTAACTAATGAAAACGAAAAGAAAAAATTAGTCAAACATTATTCTTTTTTTTTTTTCGTATGAATAAATAACAAAAAAAATAATATTATTGCAGGAAAAGAGAGCGATGGCACGATGAAAATAAGTTTGCAATACAAACTCAGAATTTTCACTTTCCTTCACTTTATTCTTATTCATACAAAATATTCAAAAGAAAAACAAAATACATCATTGAGGCTATTATAAACGATCGCATATGTGGTACCCCACATTCATTAATAATTATATACAAGAGTATATATTGCCATACATAAATATAGTGTCACCTTCTTTTGTAAAGGAATTTATGTCAAGTTGAACTTTAAACTAGTTTATTTTTTTTCACATTCTGAGTTTTTATCTCGGTACAATTGCAATGAATTGATTTTGTTGTATGTTGTTTTTTCTTTCAAGAAGATTTGTAAATAAATTTTCATTGAAATCTCTTCATGCAAACGTTTAAATCCATCTATTTAATGTGCAAATAAAAGAAATCTGAAAAGTGAAATATACTGTGAAGGTCGTGGTATAATATGTCGATCCGTTTTTTTTTCTTCAAAAATATTTGTTTGAAAGAAATTTCTTTTTCTCTTTCGAACAACGTATGACATACTTCTTGTCACGTAGTCATAAACAAAAACTACATGACAAGAGAAGTATGCACAAAATAATTTCGTCTTTCTCATAAAAATTTTTTAGTAACAACACATCATATCAACTCCTCTATCTTCTGCATAAAAAAGTGTTGAAGCGATTTTTTTTTTGATCAACAAATAGAAGATTTTCTCCTATTTCGCATTGTATGTAACTTGTTTTTGTCATTGATTCATAATCAAAGTAATACAAGAAAAAAAATGCAATGGTAACGTGAAGAAGTCAAAGTATGGAAGCGTGAGTGGTTGTTCTCGAAAATAAACAACTAATTTGAATTGAAGGGGATTGAAATATAAAGATTGAGTAATAAAGTAATCATATTCGTTGTTATTTTGTGTATTTAATGAAAGCTATTTAAAAATAAAAATAAAAACAAGGATGAACATAAACTATTATAAACGCCAAAATATAAGTCAAGTAGAGGTTTTTCAAATAACTTTTGATAGGAACAAGACAAAGACTTGCGATTTTCACCAATTTAAGGAGGAAGAATTTGACTACAAAATTATGTTAAACTTTATTGATCAACAGTCGGTCAATCAAGTGAATATTTGAGACTTCTATTGTCAAGGTATTTTCCATTGAGTTTCTTATTACAATATGACTATCGGGTAGAGGATACTATTTTCTTTTCCATCTACAGAAGGCTGATCTCTCTACCTTGTCTAGTTCGACAGTTACAGTGATTTTTCAGAGATCTCCTCCTATTTCAGTGGTTTTATCCTGGGTAATCTGAAAAAAAGTTTTGAGTAGCGGAAATTGATGAAGCTCAGCCAAATACCAATGCTTATTTTCGATTTCAAAGAGATCTAAATCATGACAGCAAGGTATTCGACACGTCTGTTATTTATCCTCTGTAATGAGAAAATTGTACATTTTAAAAATATTACTGTAGTGGTTTTAGGTCGTTTTGAAAATGAACATTGACACTTGACTGAACTTGGTCAACGGCGTCTATCCAGACTTATTTTCAGGATATCAAGGATGAAAACACTGAAATCAGGAATCTCTGAAAAGCTCTATAACTTTCGAACAGAACAAGGTAAGGAAGACCAGTCTTCTGTAGATCAAAAGAGAATAATTTTGCCTATCAAATAGTCATATTTTAAACGAAAATTCTATGGGAAACAACTTCATAATATTCATGTCAAATATGTTTATTAAGAACCCACTTGATTCGATGATTGTTGATGCATCAAATTACACCTAGTTTTATATATAAATCATTTCTCTTTCAATTGTTAAAAATAGCAAGTCTCTCTCTTGTTCTGATCAATAATTGCTTGAAAAACGTCTTTTTATTATAAAAGCTAAATTTGACGATTAGTTTTATTTTTTCGGGTCATTCTTCAAAGAGTTCTTTATTATTCATTTGACCTAAAACTAATTAATGAATAATCGAATTGATTTTCATTTGTGATATGCTTTCCAATAAATACATGATTAAATATCTATTGAATGAAAAGAATGTTACTGCTAACTGTCACACGTGCAAGATTTATGTGCTAATTTTGTCTTACTATTAACGATATTTTTATTACAAAAGAGAAGAAAAGTGAAACCTTCCATTACTTATGACAAAGAGCGGAGACAACGTTACTAAATTTTTTTCGGAATCAGAATACGTTTAAGACATATTTTCAAAATTGAAAAATATGAAATATTTTTTTTTCCAAATCGAAAAAAGCTACTGTCAAAATTTCTAAAGCAGAAAGAAAACTACTACTGAACAAAAAAAGAAATGTTTGAGTGAATTTGAAAATCTATGAGAACTTCTTTTTTTTTAGTTTTGATATTTAATTAGTAGAAAATCTATTTCACAAATAATGTTTATTTTTTATTTGATAACCAATTTCAAAAAAAATTGAAGATTAATATTATAATGATATAAAAGAAAGTTGTTTTAGAAAAAATTTATTTTGTTTGATATACAAATAAATAAATTTATAATTTTATTATTATTTAAATATAATACAATCCATACATTTTCAACTTATTATTTACGTATAATAAAAAGAAATAATCAAAAAAGACTCAACTTGGTTCATTTTTGAATGATGAGTTTTCATGATGATCGTATTATATTTTTAAAGCATTTTGAAAAATCAGTATTATTGAAAAATGTCACATTATGACATGTGACAACTTGCAATCCAAAAATCAGTCATAATAAAACTTGATTTTCAGCTCTTTTTATAAGAATTGGACGAAGTGATCAATTTTTTTTTGAATTAAATCTGTCGAAAATGGTAATTCTGCTACCGTAATCATTAACCATACTAGTTCCCCCTTTCTATGAGGAATGTATGTTGTAGTGTTCGTTTTCTTTTCATTGGAAGTATAGTAGTTAATTTTGATTAATAAAGCGTAGTTCATATTAGTATCCAATAGACAACAAATAAAAAAGAAATGTAGAGTTGTTAAGTAGTGGCGGGATCAGAAATCAGGCTAGATAGAACTCATGTGGGAAGGTAACCAACTGTTCAATTGGTTTTTAGCTAAAATCTAGTGGATCATAGGTAATCGACTATAGTGATTCCGAATATTAATATGTTGCTTTTGCTGCTAGGCCTTCAAAGATCCAGTTTTCTATAGGAAAAAAGTTTTTTCGTCAAAAAGTTATTTTTATACTGTCCACTTTGAATGTAAAAAAATATCTTTTTAATTTACATCATTACAGAAGAACTAGAGAAGTAAAAAGTTGTAATGTTTATTATCTGTTACGTTTTTCTTTCAAAATCTGCATTTATATGTTTTATTATTAGCTTTATGGTATTTTTTCTTGATTTTATATATTACTCTGTTGAGTATGGGTGCGGATCTAAGTAAAGATTGTTCTCCACAGTGACATAATCAATTTCATCAGGTATTTTTGTTTTTTCTTTCTTGAAAACCTGTAAATCAACACATCAAGTCTCATATCTCTTGTATATCTGTATTCTTAGTCAGTCTTCATTTCACTCACCCACATAATATTGATAATTTATACTTATTGCTCTGGGCGGTTTAGCAGCACTCACTAGTGGTGAACTACTATGAAATAAAAATGCAAAAACTTGAGTTCTTACACCTTACGATGCTATTTGGTTTATATAATTGTGACAAGTCATTCTCAATTAATTAACTTTGTGATATTGCACTACCTAATGGTAATTTAATATATACAGAAGGAATATCCATCATAGTAGGCAGAGAAAAGACAGAAAATGTAATTTTTATCGACACTGTTGTTACCGATATTACCATACTAAAAAATGAACTCGAGGATAAAAGAGCCAATGAAGCGCTTCTAAAAGAAATAGCTCTTCATTTATAATCGTAAATTTTCATCGTAGTCAATCGTTTACGTGTGACAGATCAATCATGTATTCAACAGATTTTAACGCATTCTAAAAGTTATTATTATTCACAATTAATTGGATGTCGAAACAGTTCAAGATGCAGAGGAAATTATTAAGAAAGAAGTTGAAGCTCTTTTTGACTCCAAGCCTAATAAAATGAATCTACGGATCAATCAGAATTATATAAACGTTAACTTTTTTTCGTTCCACAAATAATGGTATAAAAATTCGTCATTTTATTTTTGCAAAAAATGATTTTGGTGCAGTAGGAATATGGAATAGACAATCCATTGATGGCATAATGAGTATACTACAAACATCTATAGTATTTAGAGAAAATCTTGATGTTGTAAGGGAAGCAATAAGATTTGTTAATACTAAACTTCCACAATTATTTGTTAGTAATCATAATCAGGATAATAGCTCACATAGGAACAATCAACAACGAACTCAGATAGAACTATGTATATGCAGCAAAACCGTTTATTGTGCTTTCTCATCGAAAAAAAACTCGAAGATCTTAATCAAGATCCTTATCCAATAATTCTTTGACTAAAACATTTTTAGGATGATGCAGGTTATTTTCTAGATATTAGTTCAATGAATAATGATGAATAGCCACTCCAGTACCACCTATATAAGATTGATAATAAAATTATCGCTATTATTGAACTTACAGGTTTCAAAAAAGATGAAGCACGTGCTCCTATAGTTGAGGAAGTCATTATTATTGAAGGTTGTCGAGCTGGTTTTAAGAAATCATTAAAAGATCCAAACATCAATCAAGAAAAAATTCTTTTCAGCCAATTTAAATTAGAAATTCAATTGAAACGTAAGATTGATCTTGACGGCTCGAAAGTAGAACACGATGAAGGCTTGTACAAAGTTATTTTTCCAAAAAACAGCAAGTTACTTCTATAGCTCCTGTATGAGAATTTGATTGAGGAACTACGGACCAAAAGATTTTAAAATTATGTTGTATCTTGTGACTTTTCTTATCTTTTTTCTGGTTGTAACTTTTCTGCTTATTAAGTACTAAAAAGAATCAAGGACGAAGATTATTTATAGGTGTTAAAGAAAGTTAAGACCATATTGGATCGATTTCTTGTGAATCTCTCTGTATTTAGACGAAATCAATTCATTTCTAATAAAAAGAATGCGCGTGTGCTGAATTTTCGTATCCACCCCTACAGTCATCTCCACACCCACACCCACAGTGGAAAACCATCAATTATAAGAAGAGATCAGTACATATTATAAAAAGAGCACGCAGCAACTAAAAGTAGTTTCAAGATAAAAGGAACAAAAACAAAAAGCAAATGAACTTATTTTTTTGTTAAATGAACATGCAAATGTCTTCACTGAATGCAGAGCATTTTACGCTCATTGTTCTGCTTTAAATTATTTTTGCTTCTTCATGAAAAACTGGCGATACTGGTATTGCATATCTGAAAACATTAAGTCGGGTCAGCATTCACCGCTGCCTCGATTATGAAGGACAGAGCCAGCGGTAATCTTCGTTGTGCCCCCAACCTTGCAAAATTTTCATTTTAACCCAACAAAGTTCAAGGTTTTTATTGTACTGATTTGCTCATCGATATCTCTACGTAGCGGTCGATTCCTAACTTGAGGACTATTTCATTCACGAGAATTTTGTCATATCTCTATATTGTACACTACTGATATCGCTACTGGCCTTGTTTAATAATGGATAATTGGGAAGAAAAATCTTTGCTTTTGCTCTATTGTTTATTGATAGTAAGAGAGTGTCTTACGTTAGAACATATTTCGCCAATGCTGTTCTGTGTAGTAGCTAGGTGACAGCGATTGATGAATAGAGTTTTTTTTTGATCAATCTCACGAATGTTTTCATAGTTAAAGAATTCACTTTTAATGCGATTTGTGTATACAACATGAGCATTGTAATGATTGTTCAACGGAAAAGCAAATGTCAATGAATCTTAACAGAATATCAAATCTATCTGGTTCATTGTTTCGTTGAATAGTCGTTATATACTAATGTTATCATATGATTTCAACGTTCAATCGTAGATGAGACTGGTATTCGTATCTGCCACGACTCTCTAATGGAAAGGATAGATAGATCTAGTTATGGCATTGTGTACTTCATGACTCTTTGATCGTCGCAATTTATCATGTGATATATCTTCTCGATGCTGTAAATATGGGCAAATCAGCGTTCTAACATAGCGATTATGAATGGCATAAGAAGTTAAAGACTCGCGTTAGGCAATAATTACGATGCAGCTTCGAAGACAGTTGTGAAATATTCATCAAAAAAACAAAACTTTGTTGATTTATTGAAGGTTGCTAGGTTTTAATATTAGATGATCACTTTTGTCAACAAGAGAAAACTTGGTGCTGTTCTGTTCCATCATAACGAATTGATTTGATAGAATATTGCAGGCAGCGTTATTCGTTAATGGGAAAGGTGCACGGTTATTTGTTGCTTTAGCACGTTCATCTCAGTCAACGCAGGTCTATCAATGTGAAGCATATGAAGTTGAATGTGCGACATTTCAATCTCTTCTTCCGTTGTTTGAAAATGGTGTTGATGGAGCATGACTAGAGTGTGAGTGCACACAAGAAAAAAATCTACACTCATACTTTTACAAACTTTTGTAGGTGTGCCTTTGTTTGCTTGTAATTGTCGATCTAAATATTGCTCTTCTACTCACTCTCTGTTACATCTGATGTTCTTAGGTTTTTTTCTTAACCTCTCTCGACAAATCTAAAGATCACTTTTGAAATGATTCATTTATTGACTTTATCCAAAATACAAATGAGATATTAATGCAAGAATTCTAATTTAATCCGTATATAACAAAATCTTTTTTCATGGATTTTGTATTATTTGTAATCGCGTGTCAATTTCAGATGTAGATTCGCACGAAAGCCTCGATTTCTCTTCGACAGATCGGACATGTTCGAGTTGAATGACCACATGAAAGGCAAGTTGCCAAATGTCCACATGGAATACACGCGAGACGTTTCTCTTCTGTCAAACAGAGTACACATGCATTCGATGACCAAGATTGCTTTGTACAATTAGTGCTTGCTTCTTTTTCCGATTGTTTCTCAATAGTTGCAGTTGTTGATTTCAATATGATGACTTTGTTTGTATTCGACTGACTCGACGTTGACACAGACGATGATAAACCTATTTTTTTTACAAAGAAATAAAAAGACAGTCAAAGAAATACACAATAGCATACCACTTTGGTGTTTCTCACGAATGTTTTTCATTTCAATACTGGGTACTAGGATATTTTCTTTCTTTCCATTAATGTGATCGATTTGCTTTTGAAGAATTACACAAGCAATCCATAAGTCACAATCAGTAGCAAAGTCATTTTCTAAAAAAAAAGAAAGAGAAAAATGTAAAGTTAATTTATTGCAATTTGCGTACGTTTCAATCTTAGCTGGTCTTCCCAACAACGTTTGATAATTGATAATTTAAAATTTTGTTTGAGTAAACACTGTGAAATAGGCAAATCGAGTCGAGCAGCAACAAATCGTGTCAATGTGTTCTCATCAGCGATCACTAACTGAGAACTATTCGTTTGAGTATCGTTAGTAAAATCTCCACTTCTTTCTGACCGATTTTCTTCATTCCGTTCTAGTAGAGAGAACAACATATATCCTTGGTAGCATTACATAATTTTTTGAGCAGAAAAACAATCTAACCTTCAGCAGTTCGTTTTGATTCTTGAATTTTCTGATAAACTTCATCACCACAGAGCTGTTTTACATAGGCACAAAATGGAAACCAACGTACATGTTCAATCAGTGGATTATCGTTCGACCTCCAATTTTCAATTGATCCATTGCAATAAAAACAGGTAACAATAGTTTTTGAACCAGAATAAAAAAACCCAGCTTGTACGAGATCGTCAACAGGCGGCAAGTGTTCTTGAGGCCACGAATGAAATGATGCTTGGCGTTTTGAAATTTCCATATAGGCACTATGGCATGCTGATGTTTGTACTATTTCATGGTATCGTGATACATCAGCTGTTGCTGCTTGACTATTCGAACGTTCATTAAGAGTCGAAGTATTCAATGTTTTACGAGTTTTTAAAGCGAATAAAACATATGGACATTGAGGTGAGAGAGTTTCATGTACTGTCTGTGGATCATCACTATCTGGTGTCCATTGTTGACAAATTAAATTGCAATATAAACAAATGACACGATCACCAACATTGCAATAAAAGAACCCAGCCGATATCATTTGTGTTCGAGATGGTACTATGCGTTGTGCCCAATGTGAAAATGTTCGACAACGAACTTCTTTCATAATTTCGACTTCCAGCGGTAAAATGGTCATTTGACTATCAATTTTTTGACGTTTTGCTGGATTTTCGTCATAATGGGATAATTCATAGTTTCGTTGATTAGTTGCTAAAATATTTGAAGAAGAAAGTCTCATTCGATTTGTTGATAGAAGTGATTCAACAAATGAACAGTTATGACTCCGTTCAATATGAACAGTCAATGGATCCATATCTGCTGTCCATTCAGATACTTCCAAACCGCATGCATGACAACGAGTAGTATCACCAACACCTGTATATGTGAAACCAGCTGCGTTGATAAAAGTAGATGAATGAATACCTCGCTTCTTCAACTTATTAAAAACATCAGTTACTCGGCGACTGACCTCATATCTCCAAGCACTACTTTGTTGTTTCTTATCAAAACATTTTGATAAATGGATATCTTTTCTCTTCGCTATCATTGATATCGCTAAAGAGATATTGTTTTCTATTGAGTTGATGAAAGAATTGTGCAATCAATTGTGTGTTACACTTATTGCTGTAAGAAAGAAGCTGTTCATACTTGCATCGACTCTACTTATATTCACCTTTTAAGTTAGACTTGCATAGGAATTGTGAAATTTTCAAGTGACTCATTGCGAACAGGGAAAAAAATTTATCTCAGGAAAATCAGTACGATTGGATGTATTGATTATTATTGTTGTTTAGACCAAAATTACTGAATATATGTCAAAATTTTGACATTTCGGCGCCATGTCTCATTAGAATGATATAAAAATACTAGCTGTCAGATCAACTTATTGGAATAATTAGCTACCCACTGTTGACGACCTCTAGCGATCCCATAGTGCCATCTGCAGACTATGAAAGTAAACGATAGCTTGTTGAAATTGTCAAAAATTAAATGTTTCCACGCGATATAAAGCTTGATATGTTAAAACTAATTACGGAGGTAAGTGGCAAATGCCTACAAATTGTAGACGAAATTTGAAGAAAACTCAAACCATAGCATATGACCGCGTTTTTTTTAATACTATGGGTTAGTATGAGTGCGGAAGAGTTTCTTCGTGTGCACAAAAAACCCCGACCTACACTCACAACAACATCGATACCCTCATTCATCGGTCGAGCCATCGAAATTAGTTAAAAAAGTGTTAGAATTATTTAATTTTGTCCTTCCCTTTTTCTGTATTTATTGAATGAAGAAGAAGTCTATAGCAGACAAAAAAAACTATTAATCTGCTGTGGATGTTAATGCCATGTCAATGGTGATACCATCCTCTGATCGTTCACTTCTCTTTTTGCCCATTACATAACCTTCATTTGTGTTGAACGAAATCTTGACAAATTTACCGTCAGGTAGAGCAACCTATAATATTGAAAATAATTTTTAAAAAAATCGTCTATTCTATCTAGAACTATTATTTGTACCTTGAAATCATAAAACATGCCGCAACCATGTGTACGACAAACTGACACTGGTTTCAGCTCAAAATCACTTGGAATTGACGGAAACGTCTTTCGTAGTTTGCTGTCAATATTCTTCTTGAACTGAAAACAAAAGGCTGGCAGTAAGAGCAACATAGAAAGTCATATATCATTTACCGAGTCAAACATTTCTGCATCGTTGGCAGTCAATGGTGAAAAGCGAGATACCGTTTGAACATAACACTGTTCTGTTTCTTCCATTTTGATTCCTTTTTTAGTTGATCACGAAGGTGAATGAATAAAACTTATTATATATACCTCTATATTTTGAATCAATTTTGTTCTTTCATTCACCTCCGCAAGTCAATTACGGCGTTTCTACACACATACTCTATTATTAATGTGTGTGCTAGCATACATCTCACGTGCATTCATAATAGTCTTTTTAGCATGGCCTTCAACATATGTAAGAAGCAATTACTTGGTGAATAAGCTGCGTGAATAATATAAAAACAACTGTTGTTGCCATGCAGAACTGATCGATCGAGTTCTTATTGTTGTTCTCCATTGAAATAGTTTCATATTTTTCTTTTACATCTACTCATGTATCCGAAGAAAAGAAAAATGGCACATTGTCCTTGAAAAACAGAGAAAAATTGGATCATTTTCAGGAAGTATGAAGCTTGCGCATAATACAATATGTAATCTAGGTACAGCTCAAATTTTTAGCAACAAAGCTGAACCATATAAACAGTTCTTTGCTGCGATCTGAATGATCTAGAAAATATGAACTCTTGTCTATTTTTTTCTGCAGAGAAAAAGCACAATCCGACAAGAAGATCAGTCAGGTGAACTCATTTGGTCATTAATAAACCTCACAGATTAAATGAGCTATAACTAGTAGTTGTAACTGGAACCGCTTCTCAATAGCATCGATGCTGCTCGACAATATTTCGATGATGATCGAATTTATAGTTGTATGTATCCGTTCACACATTACATATATCAAAAGCAATGCAGAATGATGAACAGTATAGTTAAATTTCATATTCAATGATCATGTCCCTTCAAGAGGTCTAGCGGTGATTAGACGTGGGATGATGATGTGGACATATGTGAATGGGTGTGAACTGTGAATTTTCTTTTCATTTGCCCACGCACATGTTTAAATTATGTGTAGCATTCTTTGTATAACATATGGATAAAATAAACGTAGCATATTCACTCTGAAAGTGCTAGATTTTGAGAAACTTTTGAAGCTGGCCGTTTCCTATATCATAAATGTACATATTCGTCGATGAATCAAATGCTATGCTTTTTGGAGCATTTGGTTCAGTTGCACTATTGGGCGTTATGCCGGGGTGTGGGTATGCGTGTGGCATACCCAAACTGAATATGGTTTCAAGTGGACGAAAACTTCTAGTTTGATTCAAGGATATAAGATCTGAGACCAAACGAACGATTTCACTTATGTGCTGTTCCTCTTCAAACTTCAACTGTCGTTTAAAAAAAGTAGTAACGGCGATTCAAAGTCGCAGTTACTAGTCTCTTCCATTGTTATCTATACAATGCATGTTTGATCAAACAGAGTTGTCTTAACTCCTTCCAAAATCCATTAATTGGCAAATTCCAAAGTTTGGTTTAGCTTTTATATGTTTTAAGAGAGCAAAGTATGCTCCGCATTCGGCGTGTAAATCGAATAAGTAATGAAGGCATAGAGGCAAATTTCCATTTGCCAAATTTCGATCATCATACAGTGAGTTTTAGTATTTTGTGACAACAACAATTATGCAGATGTTTGCTATTGTCATCAAATCCTTAATTCGATTTAAGAAGAGATCATGTCAAGATCTCTGTCTAAAATCCAAAACAGTTGGTTGAGATAGCGGAGCTGATGGTAAAATGATATTTTTCTCGAACAATCGAATCGGTGCCAATGAAATTAAACAAGTCCAATCGCTTTCTTGATCTTCTACAACTTATCGAAGTCACTTGTTCAGCGATAAAACTCAACATTGGATATCGATAGTTATTTTCTTTGTTGAAAATATTGCCGAGAAGAAAAAAACATTTGTACGAATTCGTTAATATTTCATCTAATCTTTTTGTTCAGCTGGAACCTTTCAACAGAACTCCGTTCGATCAAATCGAAAAATGATGGCGACCATCAAGGAGTACAATCGATCAACAATTATTTGATTTCTGTCACGATATTCAATGTGAGCCTAAATTGTCCAATTGATAAGATATTGATCTTGTTCCGGGAGAACTTTTCTTGTTTCTAGAAAGTTCAATCGGTGTTGCTACGTTAAATTCAAAAGTCATCTTATTAAACTCATTTTGTTCGTCTCTTCACTTGAAAAGATCAACTTATGTTCGTGTTTGATGAACTTGAAGTGTCTTGCCGATTCGATGGAGTTTCATGTCTAGATTTGTCTATTTTCGTCTGTCTAACATTCAATATCCTTCCAAACCAGTGCTTACTAGAGCAGTTTCTGAGGTCAATTTATGAGAACAGATGAACGAGAACAAAGTAAAAGTGAGACATCAATCAACTTTGTTTGACCGATTTGATCTATGTCAACGAATCTTCCGTGAAAGATCACATATTTTTCTTTGAAAATCTCATTGAATTTAAAATACAACAAAGGAAATTTATTTCATCGGAACTTGGTTCAACTCTTCGTCAGTCTGATTCTTTATTGTTCATTACTTTCATCTTTCTTCTTTTCAAATCATTATCGATTGTTTTGGTCGTGTATTGCTCATTTATCTTATCAGCATGCTTGTGTCTTGGGTTCGAACGAGAAATATAGTGCAACATAGCAATACAATATGGAGATAATTAACCATAGAATCTGTTCAAATTTTATTGAGAAAGATCAACATTACGATAAATTGACAAAATGACAATATTGAAGTACATCAGATATTAAATCAGAAAAAGTTCAAAGAGTGCTGTAAGGATTCGACACATTACAGATCTTGAAAATTCTCTAATAAAAATGCCTAGAAAGTTAGCTATGCTTTCCTTATAAGTAGTAATTTGAAAATAAAACTGATTTTTTTAACAGCATCTGTTAAATTTAATGCGTTGATTTCTTTTTTTTTTCTAATTATTAATTTTGATTATAAGTCATAAAATCATTTTTTTTTTCTGTAGAGTA